GTAGAGAGCTGATATCGATTTTTAGTGTTTCATGTTTTATTAAGTCAGGTTCCTTTTATGAGATTTCTGGGGACTTAGTGAAGAAAACATGAGGGGCAGCCACCTCCCAGTGATGATACAGGTGTCTTACTTCCATGGGAATCTGGGTCAGGACCGCACTATTTCCTTGAGAGTGTCCAAAACAGTCTGAATAATAATTTTTTTTTTTTTTTTTTGTTAGTGTGGTATTCCCCCCTGGGAAGTGGCGGAAGAGGGGCCAGAGCAACTTTTTTTTTTTTAAATATAATGTTGTCAGGTAGGGGACAAGGTGGAGTAGAGAGAGGAGTAGGAGGAGGAGAAGGTGGAGTAGGAGGGAGGAGTAGGAGGAGTAGAAGGTGAAGTAGAGGGAGGAATAGGAGGAGGAGAAGGTGGAGTAGAGGGAGGAGAAGGTGGAGTAGAAGGTGAAGTAGAGGGAGGAGTAGGAGGAGGAGAAGGTGGAGTAGAGGGAGGAGAAGGTGGAGTAGAAGGAGGAATAGGAGGAGTAGGATTGAATAAGAGGAGGGGGGAGGAGTAGGAGGAGGAGAAGGTGGAGTAGGAGGAGGGGAAGGTGGAGTGGGAGGGAGGAATAGGAGGAGTGGAAGGTGAAGTAGAGGGAGGAGTAGGAGGAGGAGAAGGTGGAATAGAGGAGAGGAGAAAGAGGAGGAGAAGGAGGAGGAGAGAGAAGTAGAAGGAGGAGAAGGTGGAGTAGGAGGAGGAGTAGGAGTAGGAGTAGGCAGGGGTGGGCAGGTAAGGGAGCAGACAGGTCTCTCTGGAGGCGTGGGTATGTAGCAGTGGAGGATACATCAGAAATCAGAATTAAGTAGAAATGCAATGGAGGCTGCAAATAGCACATGTACAACAACTGTTAACTGGCCCTATGCTTTCCCTAGAGAAAAAATAATAAAAGGCTAACAAGCACATCTGTCTGTACAGGCCTCGAACGCTTCACTCCGTGGGTATCCCGCAGTGGCTAGTCCACTACATCTCCCACACCAGACTTTTGCTCGTAGAGACAGACGCTATCCCTGACTCTCTTTTTTTTTTTTCACCCTATTATAAAATATAACTCTTACTTACATCACAAATATACATTATCGCAATTTTATGTCTCGCAAAAGGGATAAAACTTATTTTACTCTTCACTGATAATGTATTAAAACTTACAAAATAGACAAATAACATTGTTTTTCTGCGCGATAAATGAAAAAGATAATGGAGGTTTTGTTAAGCTTTACATTTAGCTATACATTGGTATCCTTTCTAGTTTCCAGTTTTCACAGCTGTGTAGCAATATACAATGTAATAGAGCAGCAGGAAATGCTAGCAGAATGCTTGGTTGTATAGGGAGAGGTATTAGCAGTAGAAAGAGGGAAGTGCTCATACCATTATACAGAACACTGGTGAGACCTCACTTGGAGTATTGTACACAGTACTGGAGACCGTATCTTCAGAAGGATATTGATACCTTAGAGAGGGTTCAGAGAAGGGCTACTAAACTGGTTCATGGATTGCGGGATAAAACTTACCAGGAAAGGTTAAAAGGATCTTAACATGTATAGCTTGGAGGAAAGACGAGACAGGGGGGATATGATAGAAACATTTAAATATATAAAAGGGAATCAACACAGTAAAGGAGGAGACTATATTTAAAAGAAGAAAAACTACCACAACAAGAGGACATAGTCTTAAATTAGAGGGACAAAAGGTTTAAAAATAATATCAGGAAGTATTACTTTACTGAGAGGGTAGTGGATGCATGGAATAGCCTTCCAGCTGAAGTGATAGAGGTTAACACAGTAAAGGAGTGTTTAAGCATGCGTGGGATAGGCATAAGGCTAAGCACTTGCTGCTAGTAACAGATCTAGAATCAATACACTATAATGCCCCAAGTCTCGACTTCTATGCATATATAATAATAAAATATCTGGGCTTACATTAAAAAAAAAATATGTTAGTCAGTCTTTAATCTTGGTGGTTAACATTATCCAATAAAGACAGATTGGAACACACTCCCCCCTTATCCATTTGTTAGTAGTTAGGCTCATAATGTTTTCTGGTTCTTTTCAATTAGATCAAAACATCTTGAGACCAATCTTTAATTGTATTACCATTTGTTCAAGAAATCTTTGTTTATTAGAAATTTCTTTTAGCATGTTATCAATTTTTTGTACACAAAGTTAATACATATTGTTACTTAACACGTGAATTGGTATATATATATCCTTTCTACATATTAACCATCATTTGTCACAGACACTTTTCTGATATAGGGAAACATTAGCAGGATTATTTTAGTAATTGTAACTTTCTTGTTCATAATATGTGGGATAGGATGAGCATGATAGGAGTAGATCTCGTCAGCCATGGATGGCCAGAACTGACACGATATATGGGCAGATATGACCTCACTAAGGGCAGAGTGAAGGCACTTAAGGACAGCCTTCTTTTGTTCTAGGGGCCATTTTCCTTTAGGGCATACTAAGTCTCTCTGGAGGCGTGGGTTTCATGGGAAGTAACATTCTGTTCGGCAAAATGAAAATCTGAACTGTGGACAGACTTGACGGATTAAATAAGACAGTTGTGAATATTATACATCTAACAGCCCACAAAGCTGTCTCTAGAAACATATACTAACTTAATAACTTCTATTCCTGCATCAGATTCACTCCCTAACCATCCTATCAATTTCTATTGAGATAACAAAATACACAATTAGAATATTTTCTAGCAAAAATTCCATTGCTAAAATCTTATCAGTAGCTTCTGAATAACTCTACAGAACACCGAAGAGACAGACCTAAATCGCAAGCATGTCACCACCCCCCTCCGCCCCCTCCCCCCCCGCGTCTCACAGAAGCGAGGGGAGGGGGGGGTGTTTTAGCAGAGGGGGATTTGAGTGGAACAAGAGAGAGACTGCCTGCCAGCACGAATTTAACCATGTCAACGCTGTACAGTAACAAGACAGAAGGACAATTACATTACAAAGCAAAAACACAACATTTCATTTAAACCCCCACCCTCTACCAGGGTAATGGCTAACACAAAATACAAAAACCCCACAGCGTTTTAAGATTGGGGTGGGATGGTGACCATGGTCAGCTACATTTCGGTCATTACTGACAGGATGATGGAAGTGGTCACCTCCTGGACGCCCCGACAGGGCACTGGCTGGGATAACTTCCCAGTAACACAATTATTATGATATACATACAGTTCTTAACCCTTTATGATTTATCTCTTCCTCTACCCAACCCTCCTGCTGGATAGCCTTTTTACTCTGTACCATGCTTCAGCAGTACACAATAAATCATTATCTGTAAGCTTGCCTTTCTTCTCTGTCAGTAATCTACGCCAGCTTTCTGGCTGTAATCTACCACATGAAGGCACAGCAATTTTACACACTTTAGCAATCTTTGCAACATTTTTAACCAGTTCTTCACCTTCTCTATCTTCAACTAAATCACACGCGAGCCAGCCCCTAGCGGGCTTACTCGTTTCCTGTCCCATATCCCCCTATACAAAGCGTATAAAAACATATACAAAGTATAGGTAAAGGAAAATGAAACAGAACGTCTACAATGCTCGACTGCCACTAGGAAGGGTGGGTCCCTCCCAGTGCGTCTTCCCAAAGCGTAGACCAGTCACTGAATCCGTGTACCCTCGATGGTAACCACGGATTGGAGCGGGGTGAGAAGTGTGTGACCAATCACTTCTCTTTCAAGAGAAATAGGAGTGGATAGTGTAAATAGTACAGGAAGTAGAGGAAAAGTAAACAGTGAAAGTAGAGACAGACCCAGGAGTTTGAATGACTCCACACTTAAGACAACATTTAATACAACATTTCAATTGAAATACAGTGCATGCATCAACAGTAATCCCTTTCCTTTACTCTTGTGGCCACCAAGACCACCTCCCTCAATCTCGTAGTGTCCCCGCTCGGAGAACAACTTTCGTAAGTTTCACTACCAGCGGCCAAGGATAACGACTAACACCGGCCCGAAATCCATATGCCTCCCTCGTTACAGCAGTCCACTAAGTGTGGCCACCTCTATCCTCACTCCCGTAGTGCTCCCTATGGACCCACCCACAAGTCACACTACCCCGTGGTGATGGAGACAACAATGCCTGCCCGAATCCACACACCACAAATAAATTGGAATGCCACCAGCCTCAGCGCTCGAAGCTGGAGGGTACCATAACCTCTGCAAGCAGAGCAACGTACACAATGAGGCTAGCTAGAATATCAAAGTGACGTAACCGGGAAACCCCAGGAGG